ATATATAGACAGTTTTCTCATTAAGTAACAACAGCATATTTATAATCTGAGTTTGAACAACTATTTGGCACTGTACTTGACAATCTCTTCTTTAGGCTTTTTTTTCATCCAGATAAAAGCCAAAAACTGTAACTGTAACACTTATAAAAACATAGTGAAGGGGGCCACTGTGTGGGAATGTGTGTAGAATTATTTCTTGCAGTGGAGAAAAACAGATGTACAGTAATTCAAGTTATGCGGTCCTTCTTTTCAACAGATCCCAATTTAACTCAAGTCTTACGCCAAGTCCACCCGCCTTTCACTTGCACATTGAGATCAGTGTCACATTGTGTTGATCCATACAGTAGGATGTCTGTGAAATACATTCAACCAAAATAATTGAGGCAAGACAATTCTGTCCTGTGCTAGTAGAGTGGGTTTTTTTTGGTTGTTCTTAGGCTATAGAGATCATTTAAGGTTTTAGTTTTCGCATGTGCATGCAGATGGTTGCTTAGTTGTCATCACTTAAAAATCAGCAGTTGTGCATGTATTTTGGAGGTTTTGGTCACAGTGTACTTTGGTCATGCTGGTTCTAACTTACTGTAACGTTGACCACTGATTCACGCTCTTCTGACCAATCCATTACCAACCAAAGACTGCGACTGCAGGTCAAAGTGGCTCTTGAGCATTTCCTGGCCCATTCTTCTGAGGAGTTGATGAGCTCATTAATCCTGTTACTGCGGTAAACTGAAGATAACATCTAGTCCAGGGGTGTCAAACTCAGGTCCTGGAGGGCCTCTGTCCTGCATGTTTTCCAAGTCTCCCTGTTGCAGCACAGCTGATCCAAATGAACAGGTTCAATGTCAGGGTTACAGCAGAGCTTGCTGATGATCTGATCATTTGAATGATCTGTCTGTCTGTCTTTCGTCTGTCTCTCTCTAGTGCATGCGCACGCACATGCTCATGTAAATGTGTGCATGAATGTCCATATAATACAGAATATCTTTCGATCTTTCTCTCTGTGTGTGTGTGTGTGTGTGTGTGTGTGTGTGTGTGTGTGTGTGTGTGTGTGTGTGTGTTTCAGATTGATGGAAGAATATGAGAAAAAAAAAATTAAGAATGTCACCCGTGTTTTCATGGCATTTACATCTATACATGTTAATCAACTACAGACAGTCACCTTTTTAGGCACCTTTTGAACAAAAGGATTGGAATGGACATGGTGTGAACTTGAAGCGAATAAAATTTAATATTAGGTGGGAAAACCCCAATTGCCAATTGTCCTCTGTAGAGGACAAAAATGTATTTATGTATGTATGTATGTATGTGTGTGTGTGTGTGTGTGTGTGTGTGTGTGTGTGTGTGTGTGTGTGTACTGTTTATGATAAGTAAATGAAAACTGCTCAGTAATGTGATTACTGGACACAGTAGTGATTTAGTAACTTGAAAAGCATATACAGTACATACCCATGCATGTCCAGACAGAAAAATTGTCAAAGAATAATACATTACCTTAGTGACAAAATTCAGCGATATGCAGGTGGAATACATTGATCGTGAAATTTTGATGACGATAAAATTAAATAAATTGGGCATGTGGAGGTGTATACGTGTGTGTGTTTTCCATTCACCCTACACCAGTGGTTCTTAACCGGGGTTCAGTGAATTGGTCTCAGGGGTTCGACGGAGCTTCTGCCATGGAGGTTAAGACACACCCGACTCAACATGTCAATTAGTTATGACACGCCCGCTGGGCCATCACTGGCTGCAGATGATCACATTACATTGCTTGTCCAATCAGTGCTGCGGGAAATTTAGCTCGGTCAGTAGTCAACGTGTGACATCGTGTGATTAAAAAAAAAAAAAATGTTTTAATACATGCTAACTATGTCGAGCAAAAAAAAAACAAAGTGGTCGGATGAATATGTACCACATGGATTCACATGCATCACGGAACGTGATGGGACTCAGCATCCTATCTGCATGATTTGTCATGCCAAGTTGAGCAACTCTAGTCTCGTACCAGCAAAACTGAAGGAACACTTCTTGAATTTTTATTTTTCAGTCATGAAGGATTCGACGAATGTGCAAATGAACTGGTTGGGTTCGGTACCTCAAATAACGTTAAGAACCACTGCTCTACACGCAGACACAAGGTGTTCTGGAGCTCAACTGCAGCTCAAAATAAAGCCGCCAAGGCTGAGGTAGTGATGCTATTGCCATACACAAAAGTGCATCACATCCATATGACAGAGTCATTCGTTAGCTGTCCCTGAGATGTCGCTTGATACAGTCATGAGAATGATGACAGCGAGGAAGTGACCCGAAGGCCGTTTTAGTAAAACCTGTCGTCAATACTGCATAGAACCAGAGTGATAAAATTGAGTTGCAATTCTAAGTCATTCAAGTCTCCAAAATGTGTTGGTCCAGTAGATACACGTAGCTTTTAATACATCTCCCCTCTTTCCTTTCTAATGTCGACACCAAGGTTATGCCCTTGATCGAGGCTGACATATTATGATGACAGCCAGTGTGATGACCACACAGCTGCCTCTCAGACAAAGCCACCAGCAGGAGGAAGGTCTATACTGCTGGCACCATCTGGCACACAGAAGGACCCAAAAGGTTGACTACTGACACCTGAGACATGTAGTCTTGGTGATTTGTAGTTACTGCACCCGTTTCTCGTCTACGACAGGGATTGCTGTGAACACAAAAAGACAATTTCACCCGACAAGGCAACAGTATATCCACCTATTGTCTTGATTCGGAGACAAGCAGCTCTGATGCTTATCCAGACTGAGGAGCAACAGCATGCCTTTGTCAATCTGATAAAGTACTGCAGCAGAATGGCAATTAACCTCCAGAAGCATGACTCAGCATATTCATTTTAGTCGAATGAGAAGTGGCTGACCATGTGGGAGAATATGCCAAAGAGTATTTATAATATGCTCTGAAAAGATTTGCAAACTACTAACTTAGAATGTAAAAATATGAAACTGTTAGACACACACACACACACACACACACACACACACACACACACACACACACACACACACACGCACACACACACACACACACAAACACACTGCATAGAATTTAATTCCATCTCGTGGTTGATTAATAGAATGCAATTACCAACACTAGAAGCAAGCAAAATGCCATCCCAACGGACTTGCAGTCTTCCCTCAAGTGACAAAGTAAGCGCATTGCATTTGTTACACTTGCTGTAGTGATGATTTGAAGAATTACGTTCGCAAAGTTTGTCTCCTTCGTCTATCCGTAGAAGAAAAGTGGGAGCGAAACAATGGCAGCCTCCTGCAGGGGAGGCGCGCCCTATGTAATACAATTAGTGATTACCTAACCTGCAATTACATGAAAAAAATTATGTTGATGTGAAAGAACATGTTTTTTTGCATATAATTTAAATTAATAGTGGGGTTTTGAAATGATGAACATGAAAAAAAAATCAATATTTTTTTACACACTATCCCTTTATCTACTCGTATATTGCCACGGAAATTATGTTTGCACGTTTTCACTGTTGTGATCGTTCCAATACGCTCTCACCTTATGTTATAGCGTGTGAGGGTGATTCTCTTTGCTTCTCATCAATTAAATGACATATGTGAGGGTCCCAAACAGACTTTCAAAAACGGTGTTGTGTTCATCCTGAGTTCACAGAGGACAGAGCATCTATTGACGCACACATTAACAAACGGAAGACTCAGAGCCCTGATTTGACCGAATGCGATGTCACGTAACACAAATCCCTCGGGAATTAATAAAATGAGGTCAGTGGACTAAAGTGACATCAAACATTTATGACATCACTCACATCAACTTACTTTTTACTGTTTTATTATTATGGGCCAGTGCCCCACTGTGGACACAAGGTGTTATTGCAACAGCAAGTCTTGGGCACTCCTGTATTCCATTTGGATTGTATTGCATACTCACTATTTAGAGTGCTTCATATAAACAGTTCAAAATATCTCTTGGAAAACTTTGAGTTTCTTAGTAGCAGCATCTTATAAACTTCGATAAGACCACAAGCTTTGTGTCTGTGCATATAACGTTTTTGCCATTCATTCATTCGTTCATGAGATCACATTAGTGATATGTTGTATTGTACTAATACATGTTTGAACACGAGAAAAGCAAATATGAACCTTTCTCTCTCTTGCAGTCAGGTCGTCTAGACACTCACTATCCGAAGGTATGTGGCCACCATGGCAATGTACTCGACATCAAGTGGAACCCCTTCTTTGAAAACGTCATAGCTTCATGCTCAGAGGACAGCTCGGCAAGTAACCCTCACCACTATTATTCCATCCTCTTCAGCAGATAGTTATTAAGCATGCTTAATTTGAGCTCAACTCAAGACTTCCTTTTCATCTCTGAAGGAAATTAGTCCCAGATATTGAAGACATGCAAATGCTGTATGTGGAACACAATACTTCCTGTTCCCTCACTCCCATCCTTGCCTGATTTTGTGTTACTTGACAGTATTATGCTTCTACTGGTGCAATTGTCCTTTGTCTTTCATAATTATTAAAGCTGAAAGGAATTCAAGAAACAGAGATCGACTAGTTGCTTACTATCAGGCATCTCTGATTGTTCCTGCCTATGGATCATTTCAGTATTACATTTTGAGCTATTATTCACTCTGGACATTTTTGCATGACTCCAAAAATCACGTCACACTGAAGGAATGATAATGTCGCATGTGCTGTCTAGTAAATCCCCTTTGGGTCATCATCGTGCTTCCATCCTGAGCTGTAATCCAGTTTAAATCCGAAAGCAAAGGACTACTGTACACTGGTCACAGGATCTCTGGCTAGATCGTAATAAAGGCCACCGAACAAAATGGGGCCTTTCCTAACGAATAATAATGCATTTCTGTTTCTGTTTGCCTGTCTCATAATGCAGTTTGACATGTCAATGTGACAGGTGCGCGTATGGGAGATCCCAGACGGCGGCCTGAGGCGCAACATGACCGAGGCTGCGCTGGAGCTATATGGTCACAGCAGACGGGTGGGTCTGATCGAGTGGCATCCCACCAGCAATGGCATCCTATTCAGCGCTGGCTATGATTATAAGGTATCGCATCACTTCCTGATTGATATGACAGGCTCACAAATCTCTGAAGGAAATAAGTCACAGATATTGAAGGCATGCAAATGCTGTATATGGAACACAGTCCTTCCTGTCCCCTCACTCCCATCCTCTGAGTCTCGCGTGTGTCCACTAATAAAAATATTTCTTTTTGATGATGCATATGAGAAACCAAAAGAACAACAACAAAAAAAACCCACAATTGGTTATCTTGTTTGCTTCTACACGAATGTCATTTAATTTACAATGCACCGATTCCATGAATTATTGCACGTTTCAAACAACATACATATTTGGTTCCAAGGCTCCATTACACTAATAGTAAACTGCCCATGTCTGTTCATTTTAGTATAGACTATTTTATAAGCAATAGGATCATTCAGAAGCTCTAAAACTGTACAGTGTTGCTGAATTGACAATATGCCACAATAATTCATGCTGGCATTTAAAAACTGTTACTATGAGTGCAAAAGTTCTCCACACCTCCTCCTCTCATTTTGCCTGTGCCACCGGCAGAGCTGGTTTGCACGTGCCTTTCTGCCGCACTAATGAAAAACAGGGTTGGTAAATCACATTGCACATGCTAAAATAATCAATTTATATAACCTGTACTTCCACAACTGGCAAAATAAACTGCCTGGTAATTTTGTTCGGATGACACGATCCTAGTTCAGCCCGGTGAGTAAATCAACATCCGCATCTGTGTGTGTGTGTGTGTGTGTGTGTGTGTGTGTGTGTGTGTGTGTGTGTGTGTGTGTGTGTGTGTGTGTGTGTGTGTGTGTGCGTGTGTGTGTGTGTGTGTGTGTGTGTGTGTGTAAATAAAGTTTGTGACCATTTTTGCATGTTTGCCAGAGGCTGTCAATTCAAACACACTAAAATGAGTTCTCAACTCCACTCACTCATCCCTTTTCGTCAGATCCTGATCTGGAACTTGGAGATCGGAGAGCCAGTAAAAATGATTGACTGCCATACAGATGTCATCCTTAGCATGTCCTTCAACACAGACGGCAGCTTGCTGGCCACCAGCTGTAAAGACAAGAAGCTGCGAGTCATTGAGCCTCGCTCTGGCAGAGTCCTTCAGGTGGGTTGGACAGAAGCGGAGTATTCTTTTATGAACACTCCACTGTGCTTGAATTTAAAATGTCATCAAGAAATGTGGATCATATGTCATCACGTGCATGTTTAAGTGGTTATAAACAGGAAATAATGTACGTACTGTAAAGTTGATGAAGAAAATGTATTGTGCAGGCATTCAAGCTTGGAGCCGTCATCGGTACTTCTTCCTGAAGTTGACCTGTTCACGTTGATCACTGATCCAGTCAGTGATTATAGAAATTTAAAGTGGTAAATACTCATGAACATTGTCAGTTACGTGTTTAGGTCGTTGTAGTGAGCTTTTCAGAAATCAATTCTAAATCAATATCCCTCTAAGGCAGCCGAAATGTATTTGGTCTTAAAAGCATTTACTACACTGCATTCAAGATTCCTTAAGATAATTTTTTTATTTTTTTATTTTTTGGTCTTTACACCAAAAGAACCTCCAAGCTAAATACTGAGAGGTTCACTTTCTTCCATTTATGCTTTTTGACTTTTTTTTTCAATATTGGAATTGTGGTTTTAAAACACTCTTCCCAAGCCTAAACAAGTTTGAGGCTTTTTAGCCTGATGCCCGATGTAATATGTCTCGGGCACTAGAGGAGGCTGAGGTGATCACAGCCAAGCAGGAGAAAGTGAAAAGCCATTTCATTGTTCAATACTTGGAAGATCCCAATGAAAACGAATCCCCAAAGTAGGATTGTTGTTGCTTTTGAATGCAACCGAGATGATTACTTTTGTGCAACGTTATCTTACTGAATAAATTTTACTGATTGAGTTTTAGGTTTATTGATTCCAGTTGGTTAATACTTTTGAGAGTCAAACAGGAAGTCAAGCCAAAACTTATCTTTAGAATATGTGCTATGACACACCACTCGTCCAAACACGGCATTCTGGTTAGGATCGTGTTTGTGGAATATGAAAGCAGCAAAATCCACTCATTTTTATCCATCTGAGGGAGCGGCCGTTTTGTCACTCACTGTCTCACAATGTCTTCAGGCTAAGGTCACGAACAATCACAGCTCACCTGTTTTCTGGGTTTGGTCATGTGACGTTCACAAGCTCAGCTGTGATTGGTCGTTATGGATGAGAAAATGGATGCATTTTGCGACTGAATTCAGATTCCACCAATGCATGGAACTTATTTTAATGAAAATCATAGACTCGACTTCCCCTTGAAGCTCTTCTAGTTAGAGCATCCCGACACTCCACTCAGTCTTTGTGCTCCTCCTCCAGCAAGCCAGCTACAAGAACCACCGGGTAAACCGAGTGGTTTTCCTGGGCAACCTCAAGCGGCTGCTCACCACAGGCGTCTCTCGTTGGAACACACGTCAGATTGCTCTTTGGGATCAGGTCTGTTCAATCTCCATCTGACAAGTGGGTGCATGTGTGCCTGTGTTTGCATCAATATATATGTTGCTCTCCCCAGGAGGATTTGTCCATGCCATTGATGGAAGAGGACATTGATGGTCTCTCAGGATTGCTGTTTCCTTTCTACGACTCTGACACTCACATGTTGTACCTGGCAGGCAAGGTTAGCAATGCCCCCTTCTGTCTCACACTTGAAGAGAGTTTTTGTTGTGTCATATTTACTGTGTCAAAGAAATCGGTATTTTGGTTGCCCAAATAATGTGTAGTGGAATGCATATAATCAACTTTAACAGCAGTGGAAAACGTTTCATGAATTTCCCTACCCACTACAACAAGAAACTATCATACTGGAAAAAATAGAGGTGCTCATAATATAAAAAATACTTAAAAGGTGGTTGTCTTGCCCCCCACTCATTCCTATCCTTTTCCATTTCTATACCCCAGTCCCTTTCAGTCATGGTCATAGTCAGCTAGAAGCAGGGGTGCATTTAAGGCGCAACGGTACGTGTGAACAATGGAAATTAAATATTGCGCTCCAGTTCAAGTTTGTCATCCCGCTTTTTTAGATCAGGCCAGCTTCAATACGAAATCAGGTCAGCCTCTACAACAATCGCTTCCGGGGCCAACTTGAAAATAAAAGTAAGGCATTGATATCCATGTAGTTTTAATTGTTTTGCTTTTGCAGCACGTTGCACAGACACTTCTTTTTTTTTCATGACATGACATTCATATTGACAATTAAATCATAGATAGTTTGTCACTATAACAAATGAGAACAAACAAAAGGGATACCTGCTCACGCTACATTGGCCATGAAACGGTGGCCCAATGCGCATCGGAGAGCTGGCGCCATGGCTTCGATGGTCCTTCAAAATACCGGATGTCCATAATGGGGGTGCAAAAATAAATAAATAAATACATTTTTAAAAAAGGTGGACAGTGCACGGCTGCCTGAGCGAACTGTCTGCTAGCTGATTTCAGGGTCCCAGAATGCAAGTCAGAGGTGGTCAATTAATTTTTCAAACGGGCTGTGAATTGTGTCGAATAGTAATGTAATGCCTTTTCATAAAACAGTACTTTGGATTGTTTTGATTAGCTTTCATTGTGCAGCCTTGGTATAATTATGTTTTTGGAAATAGGAAACAAATACAGAAAAGTGCAGAAAAAACTAAACACATTTTGTTTTCACTATATCATATTGAGATATCTACACATTAATGAAAAACCTTGCCCACATATGCTATAAATTCATCCATGAGGTTGGTGGGTTGGGGAAAAAATGAGCAGCAAGCAACAACCTCTGGTGGTAATTTGAAAACCATACCTAAAATGTTTGTGTGCACCCCTTGCTCCAAGATTTCCAAGACTGCAGTGATTTCTTTCACTTACATGTTGGTTCCCTTCAAAACCTTAGATAAGGAGGAAGGAAAGGAAGGAAATGTGGAAAATGATCAACAGTGTTCAGAGAGTGGTTGGATATCTCTGTTTTATTCTTGGGATCAGACTCAAAATGTCAACTACCGTATTGGCCTGAATATAAGACGGTGTTTTTTGCATTGAAATAAGACTGAAAAGTGGGGCTCGTCTTATATTCGGGGTCTAGACGTTATACCCTTTCACGACGCTAGATGCCGCCAGATATCATTGACGCGAATGCTGAACTTGACTCCCCAGGCCAAAGCGAACCCCTGTCATGAAGAATAAAAATAAAAATAGCGGTAGCATGAAGAAGAAAAATAAAAAATAGCGGTAAGAAAGAAAAGAGAAGAAAAAATAGAAGAGATAACAGAAAATGGAGAAACGTAGTGGCAATCTGGAGAAAAGTGGGTCGGAGAACGGCCAGGTTAATGGGCAACTGAGGAGAAGTTATGATGTCATTTACATTTCAAAAACCAGAAGCCATTCATTTACGAATGTGATTGCACTTTAGTTTACATATTTAAATGTTCAGATATTAAGATTTGAATGAGGCAAAATAATATGCTTTTTCTCTCAAATATATTGTTATAATCATTTGTTTCAGATGTACTGTAATTATTTTCTGTATAAAAATTAATTTGGTGTTCAAAAAGTGTTTTTTCAAACTTGAGTCTTGAAAAAGAGGGGGTTGTCTTATAATCAGGGCCGTCTTATATTCGGGCCAATACGGTATTGGATCCAAAAACGTTGATCCAAGCTCACACATTTGATCATATTTTACTAGGGAGATGGCAACATCCGTTACTTTGAGATCACGACAGAGAAACCATTCATCCAGTACCTAATGGAGTTCCGGTCCCCGGCCCCTCAGAAAGGATTAGGTAAGTGATTTGCTGATGTGTTATTATACATCATCATGATCACTGGCAGGAGCTGATCTCAAAAAAAGTAAACTTTCTCCCCACTTCATTATTAGTCCATTGTGACAGGAGAAGGCGTGTGGATAACAATAGAAATGTGTTTTGTACAAAAGCGGTCTTGTGCAGCAACAAAATTTGAACAGGATGTAATAAAAGATAAAGCAGATTCATGTCAACCGAAAGCTCCCTAAATCTCAATTCGTCCAGTGCTGTCAAAGTTCGTTATACTGTAACATTATTCACTCTCCTTTCCAGGCGTGATGCCAAAGCGTGGTCTGGATGTGGGAGCTTGCGAAGTGTTCCGCTTCTACAAGCTGGTCACGCTGAAGGGCTTGATCGAGCCGATTTCAATGATCGTACCAAGAAGGGTCAGTAAGAAACTTGTTTTTTCCTCAATCTTAATGATCAATCCTCTGCAATGATAGCAATGGCGACTTTTCAAATTAATTCACTTCAAGGGTAACTCACATTCGACCATACTCTTGCTCCACCCCTCACTAATATTTGAAGGAGGCACTCAAAGAGAGAGCTGCCTTGCGGATCATTGGGCTCGTGAGAAGGGAAGGGAGAGGGTTGGGCATTGTCTAGCTGTGTTTTACAAAAGCAGGGACCAACTACGACCAAAATAACTTCTATACTACGACAAGTTATGTGAAATCAACTAACCTAATCAATCACTAACCTGAAAATCAAAAAAAGATATTTCGCAAATGCTACTATTCCAACTCCAATTCACTACGGAGGCATGCATGAGATTGAGACGCCACCGACAGTGGCAGAGCGACTTCGTCAAGATTCTGGAATTTAAGATTTCAACAAACAGGGGGGAGATAGTTGATTTGACAGTGCCTAACACTAAAAGCAGATTTGATTTGCTGTATGGTTCCAGTCAGACACATACCAAGAAGATATTTACCCAATGACGGCGGGAACAGAACCTGCACTCTCAGCCATTGAGTGGCTCAGTGGCATCAACAGAGGTAAGGAACACTTAAGATTTAAAGCTGATTGAAAAATCCCATATGACACTGTTTGTGTTCTGAGTATATGAGCTAAGATATCACGGAATGGGTTCTTTTGTCCAAATAGACCCCGTCTTAATGTCCCTTAAGGATGGCTACCATCGGCCAAACAAGTTGGTGTTCAAGGCCCCCGTGAAGAACAAAAAAAATGTGGTCGTGAATGGCATCGACTTGCTTGAGAACATTCCACCCAGGACAGAAAATGAGGTAAAGAATAATAATTCCTAGATCCCAAAATATACATGTGAAACACTGTTTTTGTCTTATTATTTACTGTACCATCTAAGACAGGTGTATGAAATATATATATATATATATATATATACATATACATATTGTATACAGTATATATGCTGCCAAGACACAATTTAGCAGTGCCATGCCACAGAGGCTAGGCACGAGGTGGCTCTCTCTCTATATATATATATATATATATATATATATATATATTTTTTTTTTTTATTATTAGTTTCTTTCATTACTATTCTGCTAATGAAAGAAAAATAACAACATAAAAAGAAAGAAAAAATAAGAATGGTAATAATACATTCAAATTGAATGAATGTCACCCAATGAACAAATCATATTTTCATTGTTTTGTAATATCATTGTAATGAACCATCCTATTATCCTCTTTTTTTTTTTCTTTTCCCAATGAAGCTCTTGCAGATGTTCTTCCGGCAACAAGATGAGTTGCGGAGGCTGAGGGAGGAATTGAGCACCAAGGATGTGCGAATACGCCAACTGGAGCTGGAACTCAACAACATGAAGAATTTCAGCCCCAACATTTGACCTCTGACAAAGCTGCCTGCTTTGCCTCTAGTTTGGACCTCCCAAACGCTTTGAAGCCCCCCTCCATGTTTGACCTTATATGTCAACCTAACTCCAGCTGCCCCACCTCACATATACTACATTGTCACTGAACAATCTTTTTTTTTTTTTTTTTTTTTTTTTTTTTTGCATCAAGGTACCGCAATATTGTAATAAAGACAAATATATGTTCCAGAAAAGAGTAGGCGGTCATTGATTGCCACATTGAGGGAAAGATTGCGATCAGTAAAATTTTATTTTACATTGTTATCAAGTCATTGGATTGGAAAATGTGATGAATAGTTGCACATTTGCACCAAATACAGCCAATAGCTTCTCCCCACCAAGTACTGACAAGCAACAGCATTTTTTTTTTAATTGAAGCCAAATTTGTGGATAAGATACAATTGACACATATTTTTCCTCAAGGCCTTAAACAATACTGCAGCTTGCTACTACACCATCATCTCAAAATGGCCGACATATACTTAGGTACAATGTGTCTTACTTCTTCCCAACACTGACACGATTGCTCAAGTACAATCTTCTTCTGAGGAGAGTCAACAGCGAACAAGCAGGTATGAACCCTGGGGTCAACAACTCAGCCTTAAGGGACCTTTTGCTGGCACTTATTTGGTTTTAGGGCTAATTACAGGGATGGGGGTTGTATTATACATTTGCTACTGTTTATTTGTTGTTTTTCTCTTGCTGTTCCTGACTATGTGGCTGAGCAAGTAATGATTGTGATGATTGATAGATTTCACTGAATGTTTACATGTAAATGATGCAAGATTGTCATGGAAGTGGCTCATTTATGGCTTTTGACAGTGTCACTATAATTGCAGACAAGGTAGATGTATAGGTAGTATTATACTCTCAATCACTAATCCCTTTAGTTGTTAATTTAAGACATGTTTACTAATAGGAAATGTCTAATTTTTCTCCGTCTCTAACAGTAGAAAGACATGCTAACTTTAAACCCCATATTTGAAAAGCTTGTATACCCTTCTTCTCTTTTGACTTAACATCCGTAAAATTGCCATTTTGTTTTTTTTTCTTGGCAATGAATAATAAACATCTTCAAAATATTCTTGTCATTAGTGGACGTAGAACGAGCAAAAGATATGTTGGTTACAGTATACAGTGTGTGTTACACGAATGAAACGTGAACCAAGAATAAGTTTTAGTAAAGGGTGATTCTTTTACCCAGTATGATCACTTGTGTGAATTATTGTTTCAACTGAGCATCATCATCTTTTATTGAACCTCGTTCAATTGTGCAAGGGGTGGACTGTACCTTATTGTGTAGTCAGTTATCCCAGAAAAGTTATACTGAAAGTATGAATGGGAATATAAGGTACTGTACGGTGAAGGGAAGTGGGCATCTTGTGAAGTTGACTTGTGAACATGCTGGAAGAGACACAGAAAATAAAACGTCAAATAGAATACTAGTGACTTTTTGAACTTTGGTTTAACAGCTGTTACAGGTCCTCTTCCAGCCGGATGCAGTGACATAAAGGCCAATTGAAATTTACTGTAAATATATGTCAACATTATCCAGGCTACATGTTAATCCTAATCTTAATAGATGAGGAAGAAAATGATCATGTTGCAAAAACCACAAAGGTCCAAATATAAATAAACTGGTTTTATTGTTGTAAATGGCAAGAGGAAAATACAATTTGAACGATGACTGATGAAGGCCAATTTGACCATGATGTATAATGTGTATGTATACATGTAAATTTAAATACTATAAGTGCAGTTAACAGTTTGCTGCAAATTTATGCAGTTTTAACATTCATGGACCAACCAGCCTTCTCTGTACTCTCAGCACATTTCCAAAGTGTGGCAAAGGTTTGTAAAGAATATGGACAGACACACAGAGAATTCTCATACTCAGTTCATTATGATTATGGAACTATTATGCTTAAAAAGGTCTGTTCAAATCCAAGAAGTTCAACACTGCCCATTACGGGTAAAGTAGAATACATCATTCATATCTTATTACAATGTATAGTTTCACATCAGTTATACAGTCGCTGTCTGCTGCCATCAAAGAGAATACAAAAAAATAGATTTAGTTAATATTTACAAGAACACGTAACATCCGAAATATCAAAGCTTGGGTTTTGACAAGGGTCGACTTCTGCTATAATGCCTCAGGGGGTCCCCCACAGCGCACATTTCACACCAGAGATAGCATAGTATACATCGTTTATTTCGAAGAAATAAAACGAGAGTGCAAAAATACGATGAAGGGAGGACAAAGAAATGTTCTGATGACTGGAACCCAGCTCACATATGTGTGCTTCTCAGGAAGTATAATCCCGCCAGAAGCTCAAACACTGACCCACTTTAAGAGTCACTACTCCCCCCTTACAATCAATCACCAGATTTCACTGCTAACAATATTGCGAACATACTGCAGAGATAAAATAAACAACCTCACAGAGATCTGTGCTGTCGTTTGTGTTTGAATGCATTTTGAGTGGTGCTTTGGCCACGTCCTCTTTATGACATGCCAAAGCGCCAATGTAATTAAAAGCCCTTTATACCCTTAAAATGCACCGCTTGTTACCAATAAACTGGCAGAGGATGTCAGAATGCAACACAATGCTATTTAATGAAGACCCACACTGTCCATAATGTGAAAATACGTCGGCAGAAAAATATTTTCCACACTAAAGGGCGCACCAAAAATTTTCAATTTTCTTCAAAGCTCACCGAGCGCCTTAAAATCCGGTGCGTCTTTTGTATGGTCATTACGGTAATAGTCGACTCCAAGATGGCTCCTTCCTGGAGACATGCTTCCAATGTTATAACTTGCTGTTGATTCAGTGAACTGTGCCGCTACTTTATTAAATAAGTTTGTTTTGCAGCTCCGAAAAAAGGAGAGCTGTGGTGTTAATTTTATAAAACAGTCTCAACAAATACAGGTACGTCTTTGTCTGTCTCCGTGCCTTCTTCCGTTCGACTCGAGAGGCGTTCATTACCGCCTCCGAAAAACGTAAACTAACGATTACTTCCATGAAACTACAAAAATTGAAAATATATCAAAACTGAAAAGCAAGCGAGGATATCACAAAATAAATTCTATAGCCCCCTCCCCCTACAGAATTTATATGGTGATTTCATCATTCATCATCTGTGAATACACAACAAAGGAATAAATAACTATGACTGACACTTGTGTTATTTGACTTCAAGAAGGCGCCGCAAGAGTGGCTGCCTTTACAGCAGCTCCTATTTATTTTGTTCTTCTACTTCTTCCTCTCATTACTTTGCTGCTGTGATGTGGGATTTTCTCAATTTTTACACTATTAAAGGTTTTCTTATCTTATCTGATCTTACTGTTGGAGCTACGATAAAGGTAATGCCAATGCGTTTTTCGGAGGCGGTCATGAACGCCTCTCGAGTTGACCGGAAGGAAAGAAGGCACGGAGACGGACAGAGACGCACCTGTATTTGTTGAAAAAAGGAGAGCTGTGGCTGTGGTTTTATTTTTTATTTTTTCAAACGCAGACTTTATTAATGGTTTTCACAGTCTCAACAAATACAGGTACTTTACGTCTTTGTCCGTCTCCGTGCCTTCTCTTCCGTTCCACTCGAGAGGCGTTCATGGCCGCCTCCGAAAAACGTAAATTCATTCTTACTTCAATGAAACCACGAAATCACAAAATAAATTCTGTAGGGGGGATATAGAATTTATTTTGTGATTTCCTCACTTGATGTTCTGTTTTGATGCATTATTTTCAATCTTCGTAGTTTCATTTAAGTACAGTAATAGTTAATTTACGTTTTTCAGAGGCTGTCAAGAACGCCTCTCAAGTTAAATGGAAGGAGCGTAGCACCATCTCGTGGAGGCATTGTAGATTGCGCCATATAACGCGAAGCGTCCAATGTATGAAAAAAATTTACAAAATAGCCATTCATTGAAGGTGCGCCTCATAATCCAGTGCGTCTTTTAGTGCGGAAAATACGGTAATTTCGTACGTCACATGCATTCACTGCACAAGCACTGTATTTAATTCAGTAAAGAACCAAGCCTCATACTTATGTCCACAGTCATTTTCTTGCTCATCCATTATGGAACACCATGAAAACTAAAACAAACCTATTCCATACTATTTCTAAAAAATATTGACAGCCATCACTTTGATTCAAACATTCAATGAATAAAATCTAACATACAATGTGCGCTTTGTAAACCAGTAGTAGATAAATCAAAGATGAGTCCATCACACAACGTAATGCTCTTCTCTTGTCACTCTCTCCAGTGATCTTCTGTCTCACTCTCCGTCATATGGCATACATGACTGAAACCGCAAGTAATCGTTCACAAAATAAATCCATACCAATATTTAACAGAAAACCTAAAGGTTTAAATGCAAATAAATACACACACATATATATAAAACATGAAAGATTGTAGATTTTTGTTGTCATGGCATACAATCAATGGTAATACAAGTGTCAGTGCATCAGCAAATTCGTGAAACTTTTTTTTGTTTCGTTTTAATCACTATGTGGTGTTATTTGTGGTGTTATGAATGAAATGCAATGAAATTGCATTTCATTGCATTTATTTATGGGAAGTGTACAAGTCAGTGTCTAAGTGGCCCCACGCAGCGCCAATACTGGTGGTAATGTTTGATGCTGGATTTTTATTTTATTTATTTTTTTTTTTGTTTTAAATATCCACAGCAATCAGCATTCCGCCCGTAATGAGTTACCAATTCAGTGATTTCCGTAACAAAGTACAGACAATCCATAATGGCAGCTGTGACAACACCTTGTGCATGACAAACATAAGTCGGTTAAATGTTTCAGTTTAACTTGCAATGAAATGCCATGTGAAGTTTGACAACAAACCACCAAATGACGACACAAGATACCTCTTCTTCATAATTTGACAGTAAAATCAAACATCAACAACACCAAAAAGGGAGATCACTTATTCTGGGCTATTTATGGAATGCCACAAGTGGCGGGCCGTGCGTTTCAACCTTTGGCCTTCAGTGACGTCACATATATACACAATATAGGCTCGTCAAGCAGCATTTAATTTCAGGAGCATTTAAAACCATCAAGTATGCCTTGCAGCAAAATTTTTTATCTGGCCCTCCGTCCATTTGACTTTGACACCCCTGGTCTAATGTATGAAAAAAATTTACAAAATAGCCATTCATTGAAGGTGCGCCTCATAATTCAGTGCGTCTTTTAGTGCGGAAAATATGGTACATTGCACGTGTTTCCTTCTACGTCCAGGAGGTACCTCCCACGATTTACCGTTACAAACGGCGTATTTGGACTAGAACGAATTTGGTGAGTCAAATCGGAATTTCAATGGGTTCACTGTAAAATATCACGTGAACACATTTCGAGCGTGATGTGTCCAGTTTTATTTCACACTTCTTGCATGCACTATTTCTTCAGTGTATTCTTGACTCAGCGGGATTTCAAGGCCACACAGTTCAGCTGGAGACATTTTGTATTTTGCGAAGCAAAGAGCTAATAAGTTGTGGTGTCAACGTGATCGTGGAATGTAACAATATGGAACATGACGGCCAGTTTTTTCAGCTGAATATCTTTGTATGACAGTAAAGCTGCTCAAGTGTAAAAATAATCAAAACAATTTTTACTTGAGTGCTAAGTTATTGGTGTTCAGATACCAAGCGCTTCAAGAGGAAACAATGGAGTACCACGATATTTAACAATCTCTTAAAAACAAAGGGCTGAGTGAACGATATTTAGAGCACATTGCAGGAAGGTTTGACGTAAAGGATATATCATGTTGACCTGGTTTTGAACACATTCATTTTATGGTTCTCGTGTAACACTCTCGGACCATACTTTGTGAGAACCACCCATATCTGAACTACTATCGGGTTTCGCCTAAGATCTAGACATGCATTTTTTTGATTGTTTGATCCATTTTAATGTGAGGGGCTTAAAATAGAGATGTAGTCACAAACGGGTTTCATAAAAACAGTGAGAAAACGCCCCAAATATCTCTTAAAAGGTTTGTCCTTGCCTCGTTTACAAAATGTGTGTTGGCAAAGTAGTTAAAAGTGGACTGTAAAGCGCTTCAAAGATCCACAAAGGTGCAGAGCCTGTGATGAAAGGGCAAAGAACCAAAGCTCTGCTACTTAAGGGAAAAACACTTGGTTACTGGGAAGAGACTAGGACATACAAGTGCAAACAGTTCACATTTAACTCCAAAATGACCCTCAATCGTCATCATCGTCGTCTTCGTCTTCTTCATTCAGTTCTCGTTTTCTCTTCTGACCCCAATCTTGTTCTAATGGAACAACAGTCACATTGCCAGAATAATTTTTACATTTTTTTAAAATGTTTTTTCATTCAAAAAGCATTTTTTTTTTTTTTTTTTGTGAGGCAATCCTACTCACGTTCGTCCTCCTCTGCCTCCTCCTCATCATCTACTTCTTTCTCATTCAGGTCATCCTCATCTTCTTCCTAAAGATCAGATTGTCTCATTACTTCAAAAAGTACACCTGTTTTCATACATACAAGGATTTTAAAAAATAATTTCTATGACAAAAAGATTTTATCACAGCAAAAACACTACACTGACTGTATTTTGTGAATTCCCTAAGCAGCTTGAATTGTAAACAGAGAATACCAAAAAGGACTATTCTATATATTAAAATATTTCAAAAATAATTCAAGTCTCACTTCTCCACTGAGGGCCCCTTCTTCATTCTCCTCCTCATCGTCATCACCCTCATCCTCCTCTTCTTCTCCCGACGGTGCATCATCATCATCATCATCATCATCATAATCCTCTTCGTCTACATCTGGGCAAAACCAAGGGCTTTCAGCAAGTTGTACATGTGTCCTATCAGTTCTGTATAATATTTTGAACGTTAACATATCGTGTGTCAAACACACCATCCTCATCTTCGTCGCCGTATTCCCAGCCTTCTGCGTAAAGCTTGGTGTCAGAATCCGATGTCTCTTTGTCGTCTTTGTCATATCCGTCCAGATAGATGAGCTGTGGTAGTAGCTTGAAAACATTGTCTCTGTATTCGCTCAGGTTTGTCACCTCACAAGTGTACAGCTCTAGGCTTCTCAGGGTCCCCAGTTCTTTCTGTCAGAAGCAAGAGTCTCATCAGCAATGCAAGCAACGTTTGTGGCGTACAACAGCTCCATTTTACAACTAATGTGTTATGGAATATTGACTTATGATGTTTGTATGCAAATAGTTGGGTATTTGAAGTGCCTGCCCTGAAAGATTATTACAGTTAACAAAACAAACAACAACAAAATAACTAAAACCGGACAAACGATTTACTGAAATTAAAAAACAAAAACAAAAACAAGAGTGCTTTAAAAAAAGGTTTTAAAAGGCATTAATAGAAGACGTAGAGGTGTAGAGGTGTGAACCGACATCTAGGTGAGGATGCAGAGATGAAAGTGGACTTTCCTGAAAATTCCGGAAAAAAAAATTATATATACTGTGTGTAAATATATATATATATATATATATATGCATGTGCACTATAGGTAAGATCGGGCCACCCGAATTTCGGGTCGGGTCGGGCCTAAACATGTCAATCATTGCTTCGGGTTCGGGTCGGGCTTCTC